TTCATTTTCCCACAGGAGCCGCATTATTTCGATAAGTTTTACCAAGGCGTATTCAGCATGTCCGCATTAGCGAAACAGGATTTTGTGATACGAGGAATTACGACTTTCATAGAAGTGCTAAGAGAAACACCCTCGTTGAGCAAATATGTGCCCTACTTTGCGGCTGTAGAATCAACAGCCTTCCAACAATGTCGCGCCTCCTTTGATGAGTATCGGGAATCGCCCAAGCCTGGCGCTTTCTATGTGCTTTGTCACGGCGATTTTCATTGCAAAAATATGATGTTTAAACATAACAAAGAAACTGGTAAATTCGAAGATGTAATGTTACTGGATTATCAAGTCGGATATGTCGGTCCCATCGTGATGGATTTGATATACTCAAAGTATTTTATTTTGGATGAGGATCTCCGTTTGGAGTTTCCAGCGCTTGTGTACCACTATTTTACTACTTTGACGGACACTTTGAAGAAAATAGGCTTTGAAGGTGAGCTGCCAAAACTTACTGAGATCCATAAGCAGTTTATGCGTCACAAGCACTTTGGTAAGTAGTTATTTATAAAGTAGTTACATACTTTGGCGCTTAAAGATTTGCTTGACGCTTTGTTAACAACTACGTTTGTTATTTTATTTTAGAGCTATTTCTCTTAACCACTTTTTTGCCTACGTGGATGGCAAAGAAAAGTGATATCGATATGGATTCGGTTATGACATCTGAAGAGTATCGTCGCAATTTATGTAAATCTGCAGAATATATAAAGTATTTGGAAAGTGCCTTGCCTCGTCTCTTGCATCTGGGTTATTTTGAAGATTAAAGCTTTTTCAATTAAATTAATAGGAAAAGTAATATGTACGTATGTATATATATGCATATATAGCACATATTTCACAATAATAAATTTATTTTTCTCTATATACTGAATTGAATTTTACAATTTGGATTACGCGATTCTTACCCTCTTAGAGAAACATTTTTATCAGTGTTCATCAAGAACTAACNTTAAAGCTTTTTCAATTAAATTAATAGGAAAAGTAATATGTACGTATGTATATATGTGCATATATAGCACATATTTCACAATAATAAATTTATTTTTCTCTATATACTGAATTGAATTTTACAATTTGGAAACGATTATTAATATCTTACGCGATTCTTACCCTCTTAGAGAAATACTTTTATCAGTGTTCATCAAGAACTAACCCACTGTCTTTGCTATGAGTAGAGACTAAATGAGTCAATTGTTTTATTTATTTACTTATGTATACACACTAGAGTGGTCGACATTTTGTATGGGGAAAAACTTTCATCATAAAAAACGGGGCACCCCCTTAGTTGTTTCCTTTTTATTTTTGCAATATCTATACGAGCTTTCAATTTCCTACTGTAACGAGTACAGGGTGCACAAAAACGTCGAAATGTGCTACTGCGTCGCTGTGAAATTGGCAAAAATATTGGTGATTTTTATAAAAAGCTACTGTTGCCGCGACTGCTGAATCTTGTGATGNACGGGGCACCCCCTTAGTTGTTTCCTTTTTATTTTTGCAATATCTATACGAGCTTTCAATTTCCTACTGTAACGAGTACAGGGTGCTCAATAACGTCGAAATGTGCTACTGCATCGCTGTGAAATTGGCAAAAATATTGGTGATTTTTATAAAAAGCTACTGTTGCCGCGACAGCTGAATCTTGTGATGTNCGAGTACAGGGTGCACAAAAACGTCGAAATGTGCTACTGCGTCGCTGTGAAATTGGCAAAAATATTGGTGATTTTTATAAAAAGCTACTGTTGCCGCGACTGCTGAATCTTGTGATGTTTTTTTTCCATAGTTGAAATTTGAAATGTTCTTAGGTTGTTTAGCCAATTGTTTGATTAATATATGTACACAATACTCCTAAAGTAAAATATGAGCAACATGAACATCCTCTAAACTTATATCTACTTAGAAACGTAAGGTTTGGTACCAGCACCTCTTTCGGCAAGAGGAAAAATACTGGAAGGTGCCCCAAATCCTCTCTCAGAATAAAATTTTTTGAACCACGCTAATACACACGCTGCTTCGTCATTTCTCTGATTTTACTTATCGCTTTTCATCTGCTTAGTGTAAATGGGCAATAAGTTGGCGAAACTTCTTATCAGGCACGCGTAAATATGGGGTGCGATTAAAGAATAAAATCGAAGATATAAGCAACATAGCAGCCAGAAATATTGCAGAGTAGCTTGCGTGGAGATATACAATTTACAAGATTACTTTAAATTACATATGTATGTATTATTTCAGCGATATTCAGCTTTCTTATTTAATCTATATCTATACAGGGTGTCCCAGAAGTAACGTGCCAAACTTTAGGGGAAGGTAGGTGGGGGGTGAGCTCCCTGATAAACAAAAAATTTTCAGGTAAAAGTGTCACCGTTTTTGAAATATTTACATTTTTTCGAATTTAAAAAAAATCGTGCATTTTCATGTGTTTTCTTTAACTGCAACTACAAACCGGGCAATACTTAGTAAATTTTTTATGTAAAATACTTCCAGATAGTTGCCCCTCCATACTCAAATGCAATGTAGTTAAAATATATTAAGGAACCATCATAAAATTAGGACTATTTTGGGATTTTTAACTTTTTGATATTTTCTTCCCCAACTTTGACTATCTCGGGTGAAAAAAAAATGTACTGAGCTATAACTTTACATTACACAAAAAAATTGCTCATTTCATAAAGATTTTAGAAAGGTGCCACACTTAATGTTTCGAATAGAAAAAAAAAGTTATAGCCGCTTTTGTGGGTAAAGGACTGAGACACGCTAGAATGTATTTAATAGATTTAAATTGAATTTGCTCTTGTTACCGTCAAATGACATGCTAAATAGTACAAAGGTACATTATTACCTGCTCCTGACATTATTTTATGTTACTTACCGGAATTCGGACTAGAGTCTATAACAAGGGCTATATCTATCAGTATTTTGTGTGAAGGATGGGTTCACGTGAAATAAAATATACATAATTTGTTTGAAGAAAACTTTATACATTTATTGATAAAATATGCTCAAATTGGCGACCTTCTACTCTGGGAACCATTTTGGGATTTCAGAGATTTTAGGGATTCTCGAGAATTATCGATATTTTTATCGGTTTTGTTATAGATATAGTTATCGATTATTTATCGATTTTTGGTGCTGGCTATTTATTGATTTTGTTGTCAATATTTTTATCGATTTTGTTGTCGATATTTTTATCGATTTTGTTATCGATATTTTTATCGATTTTCTAATCGGTTTTGTTACCAAAATTATTATTGATTTTGCTATCGAAATTTTTATCGATTTTGTTATCGATATTTTATCGGCTTTTTTATAGATAATTTATCGATTTTTTATCGAATATTTATCGATTTTGTTATAGATTATTTACCGATTTTGTTATCGATTATTTATCGATTTTGAGCCGATGTATATATGTATGTATATATGTATGTATATTGGTTATGAAACAAAATAAATAGGTAACGTAAGTTTCACTTCTCCAGTGTGGCCCAGGCACACTTACTTTTTTCAGTAGTGCTATCACCTGTTTAAAAATTATAAGATCTTCACCGTTCGTTGGATAACAAAACGAAATACCAAATGAAAGGGCATGGCCTTCGCATTTACAAAAACTTTATCTTTTTTGAGTAGGGTTGCCACCTATTTAAAAATTATTATTTTATCCTTTCTTAGTATAAAGGAAAGTTGAGGTAGTGGTAAGCAGTGCGCGCTTCCACTCCGCAACGCCTGGGTATNATTTAAAAATTATTATTTTATCCTTTCTTAGTATAAAGGAAAGTTGAGGTTTTTTTTTTATTATTGTCGGNGTTCAAGCCCTGGTCAAAGCAACATCGCCAAAAAAAATGGTGAAAAAAGGTTTTTTCTTAACAGCGGTCGTCCTTCGGCAGGCAATGGCAAAACTCCGAGTGTATTTCTGCCATGAAAAAGAGCTTCTCATAAAAATACGATCGCCGTTCGGAGTCGTCGGCGTAAAACTGTAGGTCCCTCCTGTTTGTTTGACAACATCAAGACGCACGCCACAAATCGGAGGAGAAGCTCGGCCAAACACTAACATATGTGTACGCGCCAATCTATTGTTATTATTATTTATCTCCAAAATTACTAAACGGTTATGTATGTAGTTAGGGGTATTAACCTCCATACTTAGAATTTCTATAAGGTTGCCACCTGTCTAAAAAATCTAAGGCCCCCGCAATAAAAAGAGACAGGCCGAATTACGTGAATGCGAAGAGCTTGAAATGCTGGCCGACTGGAAGAATGCCTGAACATTTTACCAGAGAGTTAGGCGACTTAAGGAAGGTTTCAAGACCAGCGCGTATTCCTGTTAGAACAACAATGGCAACCTAGTTGCCGATGTTCAGAACGTACTTAAATTATGGAGAGAACACTTTTCCACCCTTCTGAATGTTAGCGGCACGGAAAGTTGTGGAGAAGAAGAACCCGAGTTCCAAGTTGATGATGACGGAGTCGATGTTCTTCCTCCTGACTCTGACGAGGTATAGGTATAGCAATAACGCGGCTGAAAAACTACAAAGCTGACAGCTGAGCTATTCAAGTACGGCGGCGAGGAGTTGACAAGGTGCATACATCAACTCTTATGCAGAATGCGGTCAGATGAACGCATGTCCGACGACTGGAATTTAAGTGTGATCTGCCCAATCCACAAGAAAGGTGACCCCGTCATTGAACTGATTGGGCCTTATAAGTGTGGCTTTAGGCCTGGAAAATCCTTCATAGACTAAGTATTCACAATACGCCAAATCTTGGAAAATACCCGCGAGCTTTCGACAGCACTAAAACGAGTTGCTTATACGCGGCTATGTCTGAGTTTGGCTTCGCCGCCAAACTGACACAGCTGTGTAAAATGGCGTTGACGAATACCATTAGCTCCGTCAGAATTGGGAGAGACCTCCCCGAGCCGTTCGCCACTAAACGGGGTTTCGGACAGGGCGACTCTCTTTCATGTAACTTCTTTAATCTGATGTTGGAGAAGATAATAAGAGCTGCAGAACTGAACCGTTCAGGAACAATTTACTACAAGAGCGTGCAATTGCTGGCTTATGCCGATGATATCGACATCATCGGTATCAAAAACCGCGAAGTGTGTTCTGCATTAAATGGGATGAAATGCATTACCACTTAACCGCTATCCAGATAGTGAAAGGAATAATTCTATTTAACTTTTACTATGTAGCGCTTGTGAAATTTGAAATGCACTACCACTAAAGGCCTAAATACCAGAAAGCTAAAATACGAGAGAAAATTACACTACATAGTGCTACCAGTTGATAATTTATAATTTTGAAAAATATCCAAGCTGCTGCCATAGAGGTGATCAAGTCGTGAACAAATTCTACTCCCTTTGACTGCACCTGCCAGCGCCCTTCTTGTTGAAATTAAATCTCACTTAAACATTTTCCGAAATTCGAGTAACAGTCATCAAATCAAGTTTATCAAGTCCCAACACGGCCCAATTTTGAAATGTAAAACGATTTTACTTTAACGAATGGAGGCAGAAACCTCTCCCATGAGTCCATACAAACCAGTATTGATTTATAAAGGCCTGCGTGTGTTCACTGACCATTTGTCCATGTGCGTTCATTGCAGTTGGCATGCGTCCGATCCGTCGACATTTGGAACATTGGAGCACACACAACATTTGTCGGCCACTCAGCTGCCCAATTCAACGTCGAAAGCAGCTGCCAGCAAAACTGTCATGCGTTTCAATGCTTGGCAGCAATGCGTTCTGTTTGAGGCGCTTTGACTCTTTCATAGAATAGATTGCGACGAGGGCTGCTGGGGGGGTTTCGATTCGCATGGAAGTTGGCAATCCAGCACGAGTG